CAACCTTCTGTGAACAGGGCCATTAGCATATTCAAAGATGAGCGAGCCATTCCTGAAGAGATTCTAGATGCGAAGTTACAGTATGCTATCTAGTCAAGAGTACACAGAGGGAACAGAAAACAAAAAAAACAAAAAAAAATTCCAGAAAACCCTGCCAGGGTACCGTGGACATTTATTCTGTAACCCGGCTTACCCTGTACATTACCAGAATTGCCAATCACTTCACTGCCACTCGGACCGGAGGTTAGCTTATATTCGAAGTATAGAGAGATCCAACAGAGAAGTTTGTTGACCATAAGGAAGGGGAGAGGGATATTGGGGCAAACTGCCCCGGAATACGCCACGCATCCCACCACCACTCAGAAACCTTCGTTAATAGTGGTGGTCTCCATGACTTCTATGGCACCGCAGAACTTCAGTTTTCCTTCACTTTCATGAATTTCACTGTTTTAGAGTATCGATGACCGTTGGTGCAGTGCTAAAGGCCCGTTAGCTCAGTGGCTTCAACCTGGGGAAGTCCGATCACTGATCAAGGCATTGTTCATGAACACGGAGCAAAGACGCCAATTACTGGACTCGATCTTTTGATTGTTCGATTCGTGAGGTCTTCGCTTCCTCCATTTCCAGGTTTCCGGAGTAAAAGCCTCCAGAAATAAGCCCAGTGCTTGTAAGATCCCGGTGCTTCTAAGATCAATTCTTGAATCATACTGCTAACCATTATTACGAGGTATTTGTACTTGAATAAGTGATTTTCGAGTGGACATTTGTCTTATCAAAACTATTGACTGTATTTTGTTTCTGTAGATTTTAAAAGCATAAACTTTTATTCATTCGTTGACATACATGGCTGCGGCTAGCTTTTATGCTGAGAGTCCGGGGTGCTCAAACGAGGGTGACCACCCCTCGGAATCTTGAGATGAAAGCCCTCTGAATAAATTTTGAGTGGTTTCGTAGAACCAGTGCGCATGAGCATAGTTCCGGATTTCTAAGTGCTGGTGGGATGTGTGGCGTATTCCGGGGCAGTTTGCCCCAATATCCCTCTCCCCTTCCTTATGGTCAACAAACTTCTTTGGATCTCTCTATACTTCGAATATAAGCTAACCTCCGGTCCGAGTGGCAGTGAAGTGATTGGCAATTCAGGTAATGTACAGGGTAAGCCGGGTTACAGAATAAATGTCCACGGTACCCTGGCAGGGTTTTCTGGAATTTTTTTTTGTTTTCTGTTCCCTCTGTGTACTCTTGACTAGATAGCATACTGTAACTTCGCATCTAGAATCTCTTCAGGAATGGCTCGCTCATCTTTGAATATGCTAATGGCCCTGTTCACAGAAGGTTGCCTAGCACACTTGAACACACCGTTCAAAATTGTCGGGTGGGGGGGGAGCTGGAGGAGGGGCGGCACGCTTCATTGCGATGCCACTCCTCTTCTCCCCTTCATGATTGCGTTCTGCAGCTATGGAGAGCCTTGAGACCTCCAGCGCAGCAAGGAGGCGCGGCTATCATGCCATTCTGGCCCCGAGCACCCGGCAATCCCGGAAAGTGTCCATATACATAGCCGCTGTAATTTGGCAGTCTTGTCTTTTGCGTCAAGCACCTTTCAGGTTAGTATTTCGAATCAATTGGGTGCTGGTGCGAATGGCGCGCGTGTGATTCTTTTTGCAAAGCCTCCGTTGGCACACTCGCCGTGACCTGGCTGTGCTAAATGACGCACGCTATGCAGAATAGCACTAGAGCAAAGCTAGGCTCCATAAACTGTAGATGGGAGGGAGGGGTGGGGGAGAGGTGCGACTGCGCGCTTCATGTGGATGTGGCGGTGCGCGGCTAAGCCCTTCCTATCTCTGGAATAAAGGATGTAATTAATGCGAAGGCCTATTCGTAGCGGAGTTTTCGCCTGTTTCGGAGCAGATAGCGCGAGCCCTTCCCGTCATACTGCCGTACAACTTCTGTTTCCATAATTTCGGAAGATATAAGTTGTACAACTAGAAACTACTAGAAGATCTTTATTTATTTTTGCTTCCTCTTTCTCGCTGTCTTATCGAGCAGTTTGAAGGCGGGAAAGTCTTTGAGCAGTTTCTTTCGTAAAGCCTGGCTTGCCTCTTTCCACATTTCCTTCAATCTATAATAACAAATGTTTTCATGAAGGCACAAACTACATTCGCTTGAAGAAGATTCTTTTAGACAAAGCGGTCTGGTCTGCAAAAATAGGGTATTTACTTTTTGTGGTTCCAAAATACGCTATAAGGACGCTGGCTGCTCGTGACAGGGGCTATGCTCCGCCCACAGCGCTATGCCCCGCCCAACAATCAAAACTAACGGCTGTGTGGTGACTCTGCCACCTTTTCCATTCTGTTTAGGAGAGTGGAGCGATAAGGGGCAGGAATTCGTCGAAACCCACCCTCTTTGCGCCGTACGCTCGCACAATTAAGGATCGTTTTCACTACTGTATTACCTTCTATTTCGTATTCGGACCTCACTACCTGCGTTTGAGTTGGGAGGGGGGTACCTTAACATGTGTTCCACCGTAGTGTATATGAGAAAGATCTATCCCACTTGTTGGCTGTCATGGATTGTGTCCTCTCTTGCTCAGCTATTTGTTGTAGTTGTAGCTCCGCCTAAAAAGACATTTGATTCTCAAAGCTCGGTGATCATCCAAACATTCAAAAAGAAAGGAGAAGTTCCCGGATGCGATCTGTGGTGCACTTCGGTTAGGGAGGGGGAGTTCAGCTAATCGACTTGGAGGCTTGGAAGCTGTTGTAATGCTATGGAATGGTACGACTTCTACTTGCCGGAAAGCATTTAGGCGATAAGGGTTTGACGCTAGTCTATTTGGGAGGTTATCACCTTTGGCTCTATTCATACTTCGCGCGATATGGGAACGCGCGACTGGTGTCGACTAGCTCCGCCGCTAACCGTTGGACTGATTTAATCGCAAATCACATCTGGGATGAAAATCTTATATCATTACAGCTGCCCAAAAAGTAGTGATGGGTCATGATCTATCGCAATCGTGCATCCGAACTGCTCGGTTCACGAAATATGAATGGAGACCTGTAAGACTCTACACGAGTTAGGAAAATGTACACCCCCTTCCCAAGCCGAATCGCACATTATTTCTTTGTAAAATTTTCATACTTACATCAAAGAGAAACACATAGGCATCAGGGTCTGTCATCATAAAATCTGCTTGATATTTATGTAGTTTCTTTTGCAAACTGTTGTGACCATCGAACTGACAATATTTCACATTATTGGCATACTGTAGTTCAGTCAGTCGTACGGTGTCAGCACACAGAGCGCCATGGGTATCACGGAGGAGGGAGAGGGTGGTTCGCAATGCTTTGTGACCCGGGGGAGGGAGTCACGAGTGGATGGGCCACTTCTTACATTACGGTTCTTCACGAGTGATAATCCATCCATACAGGAGCCCTTTCCTCTCAAAAATTACAAACCGCTT